CCCCCATCCTTTATGCTCCTGCTATGAGTGAAAACCTGGTATTTTTCTTTTTTCTTTCTGGCTTATTGCACTAAGCATGATTCCTTGCTGCAAAGGGCATGTGTTTATCTTTTTTGATCACTGAGTAATATTCCATTGTGTATATGAATATGTGAATGTGTGTTTTTTTTTAATCGTTTCATGAAATCAAGACAGATTTTACAAAATCTGCAGAATTTTCTTCTACTGTAACTCTTGATGCTCCCACTTCCTTTTGTCTGGCTTGTGAATTGCCAGCCCTCATGGTTTTCCTTCAGCTTCCACCACTGATAGCTCTTTGTACCATTCAGTGTGTCTTTGCAGAAGGAAGGAAAACCTCAATCTTTTTTAGAAACTCCACTTTTTTATATAGTACTTTACAAATGGTCAGTTCCATGCAAATGGTAAATCAGTTTAAGTGAGCTGAGCTCATCGAGTCCCTGCTGGACTCATCACCGTTTGGAATACGTATGTGTTGCTGAAGGATTTATAACCTTCATTCCAGAGCTACTTCCTTCTACCATGAATTTACGAGATGAGTTTTATGACATAGTTTGACCTAACAGTGCTTCTAGAATTACAGAGCCCAGTGTCATGGAAGGCCCAGCAACGTAGAGCCCTCACTTCCACAAAGGCTGGCCCTTGGGCCTACTGCAGCACCACGACTAGACAACTATAGCCCCACAAGCCTTCCCTGGGCGCCCAGGCCGGAGCATGCAGCCAGGCCTGGGCACCTAGGTAGGAGGTCAAAAGGAGAACTTGCACGAGTTCTTCCCTCTCTGCTGCCCCCCCCCCATCCGTTTCCTGGAAAAGTGAAAGTGAAACCAGTGACTGCTCTTCCATGTGACAGAACAAACCCAGGGCACTGCTGCTCTTCCCTCCAGGAGAGACAGGCAGTAGATTTTAATAACCACACTGGCGAGGCACAGAGAAGGATGAGCTCTGAGAGGCACTGCATCAGAGGAAGTGGCAAGACTGCGGGATGGGATCCAGACACTGTGCAGGAACCTCGACTCAGTCTGTTTCCCAGTCAGAAGAAAACACTTCCTAGCCACACTCTTTTCCCATTTTATTTCACAGCAAACAACCACGGATGTGTTCAGTTGTTATCTCCAGACGCTGAGGGCATGCCTCTCTCTGCAGACGCAGCCTTCTGCAGCGTGCCAGCTGCAGATTTTGGTTTTTGGTTTTGTTTTTCATCTGTGGAGGTACATACCACTCTCTAGGCTTTTGCAAGTAAGGATGCCGAGGCTCAGCAGGCGAGCGGAAGCCAGGTGGTAAGACATGTCACAAACCTCCTCTTTCCACCTCAGTAAGCTCCGTCGCATGGGCAGCTTCACCAGAGACTGTCCATCACTGTTCTGTCTTCTCTAAAATCCAGTCCATGTATTCAGCAACTTTGGTGTAGACACCTGGTTTTTCCCTGCGGCCACAGCCTTCACCCCAACTGGTGATGCCCACCAAAAACCATATTCCTTTGTGTTTACAGACTAAAGGGCCACCTGAATCTCCCTGTCACAGATGGTAGAAAAAGAAAATGATAGAAAGTTAGGATAAATGTGCTTTGAAAGTTACAGTCATACCACACATCCAGTTTCTTAGAGTTCTTCAAGTCACTTAGCCTCATTGACTGTTGGGGAGGTGAAAATGATGTCATTTAGCAATGTGGTGGCATTTTCTGTTGATTCCAACAGAGATTTTGGCAGTATCATCCCATTGTCAAGTCTAGTGTCCTTATATTTTAGTACATTTTCATACATACAGTTTTCCCCCTTAATACAACATGACTCTGTGCAGACTGATATGTATGCAATCTTCATATAAATGATATTCAATTTGGTAACAGTTACAAAGCTATCAGATCACTTAGTTCTGATTAAAAAAAAAACTAGCATGATATGCTCTTGGAAAATGTAAATTTAAATGAATTTTCTTAGGTTGCCGATGGTGTAGTCTCATAATTGTAAGCATTACCTTACAAGCATCTTTTCCGCCTTCTTTATAGCCAGCACATATCACCTGTTTGGTTATTTCATGATCGCTGTATCTTTTCTGGCATTCTTCATTTGTTACCAAAGGAATATTTGCCTTTTGAAGGATATTTTGGACTTCACCTATGAAATACCAATATATAACTTCAGAAGAATAAAATGTAATAAATATGAAAATAAAACTATAGCTTTAAGACAAATGGGAAAGACAAACTTTTTATTAAAGTCAATTTGGAGATACAATTAGTAATGTTGTGGAGGTAGAATTATACAGAGGAGCAGAGAAACAGAGGAGAAAGGAGATTGAAGTGAGGGAAGGAGAAAAGTAGGGAGGAAAGTGGGAGGAGAGGGAGGGTGGGAGAGAGAGAGAGGAGAGGGGGAGATCAAGAGAGAAGACTTCAGTGGTTTTTGATTGCAGTGGTTTTGATGCAGTGTTAGGAAAATGCCAGCACCAGACTTTGCTTTCATATTCTCTGAGGTCATCTTATCTTGATAGAAATTCCCTTTTGTCACCTATCATCCTGATGCCTGGAAATTCTAACTTTTCGGGGTTTCTTTTATTTACTCAAAATATTGATGTTTAAATATGTGATGTTGAAGATAAAACCCAAACCTCTCACAACACAGGAGTATGATGTTCTTTGTGTATATGCAAGTGAGCATTTCCCATGAGGTGACTTCATAAGTCATCACGTGTTCAGGTTCCTCCTGGACATGTGGTGGGGGCGCTTGTCGTTTCGCTGAGCTAACTTTTAATTTCTTCCCATGTCAGGGTATTAGTCAAATACTTCAAAATTTGAATTAATTGAATAAAGGGCTGAATCAGGAGAGCTTTCCAAGCTCTCTCCAATAATAATGTAAATATTATTCCTTATAATTTCTATCAGGAACATAATTATAGGAAGAAGGAATGATCTGTTTTCTGAAAATGAAATACCTCATGTATTTAGAAGCAAGGGTTTTTAACATAAGATTTACCAGAAGCATTCATATGGTCTACAGATGCAGGTAGAAAAATATGTATTTATTTTAACCAACCTCCAACAGAAGCCCAATACTCCTTCCAGTTAGGAATAGAGGCAACACATACAGTTTTAGCATTGACTGCGTCATCAATTATGTATAAATTATTGCATTAACTGTATTGAAATTTCATTGGCTTCATTTTTATAATCTTGTAAGTCTTACTGAAGTATTTAAAGCATTGGTAGAGAAGTGAATCACCGGTTCCAAGATGTGTTCATGGAAAAAGCCATAAAACTAAGAGCCATAAAGTGAGAGGGCAGGCCTGCCTATATGGCCATTCATGGGGAGGGAGAATCACACTCTAGAAAACAAGAACGCTAATACTTGGACTGCCTGAATAGGCTGCCCTTGTTAGGCCTAGGTGGGTGAGTCCTCTTTGTGAACTCAAACAAATTATCTTAATTATAAAGTAATATGATTAAAAGATTACCTAAAAAATCTTCCAGGCTCATCTATCAAGATAAATTTTTGGGAATGAGGAGATTTAGAAGTTCAAGATGCTGTAGGTAATTTTAGAGAAAGGTCAATTAAACTGATCTACTCAGTATACTATGATACATAAGACTTGCCTTAGGAACAGCATTTAAAATGTCATGCCATACCTTTTTCCTCTGTGAAACCCCATCCAGTTACCCAACAGTTGGTATAAATTGTATTTGTGTCATATTTGGAAGGTAGGCAAATTTGTCTTTGGGATTCTGAAAGATAATTTTTAAATTAGGGTTTGGTTTGACAAAATTGCAGATGTTGACTTGAAAAAGGCATACTTTCCCCACAGAGTAGCACCAAGAAGAATAACATTTTTGCTTTCTGTTCAACTTCATATTTGTTTGATGAAGAACAGGGGTGTAGACCGGAGATGCTGATTCCAGGGGTGAGAAGATTTACTAGAGACATAGTAGGGAACAGAATAGACAGACTTACTGAAAAACACTGCTAAGGGGAGCAGCAGTTGAGACAAGAGAGGTCTGCTGTGCCATATGTGGGCCAGCTCCTTTGCCAGGGATTGAAGAGGTGATAGTACTGAGACTTAACCCTTAGGCCGCCATCGAGTCCCCTCTTCAACTTCTAAGGGCAGTGATTCAAGAAAATTTCTCACCATCAGCAGCATTCTTGGTACTAATTTTTTCAGCAACATTTTCAGTACTAATTTTTCTGGAAACATTTTAAAAGTCAGAACACAAACTTACTGTCAAAAGAATGGAAGAGTTCTTGTGTGTTAGTCTGTGTGCACAATCAATAATACTAGTTGAGGGTCTACACTGTCCACACACTATTTGAAAGTGCTTTGACTATTAAATTTTATTATTAGTACACACCAAGGTGTGATCACCATGCCCTCTTTACAGATGAGGAAATCAGAGATGCAAAGAGGTGAAAGAAACTTGCCTAAAGCCACAGTTCTTCATGGACAAAAGGGACTCTGTGACCGTGGAGATCTTTGCCTCCAAGGTTAGTACCTCTAGTCAGGATGCTACTGCCTTCCCAGAGCTTTCTTGTGTATCATTCTCTTCTCCATTCAATTTACTCCTAGAAATTACTATTTTGTCCGCATGCCCTCATATATTCTTGGTATGTCTAAGCTCAAAGCAATGAACACTCTGCTACTCTGTCAAAGGAAAGGAATGTTTCCCAGATGACACATTCTAATGTGTATTATTTCAGTAATATGGCACTTAGCATTCCTACCTGAAGGAACTAACTCGTGTTTCCTGCCCAGGAGTAGAAGAAATTTTGTTTTTGTCAAGCACAGGTCTTAATTTCCTTGATGATTCTTGCCTTTCCCTGAACTCCACCAACCAGAAAATAAAGACATCCTTTCCACACTCTCATCTCTCAAGCTGATGTGAAAGATTTAAGCAAAGCAATTCAGCTGGAAACCTTTGCCTGAATATGCTACGTACCAGTGTAATTCAAAGGAGCCTCAAGTTTTATTAAGGCAATGTCATGACCACTTTCAGATATTTTATAATCTTGGTGGATAATAATCTCTTTAATTTTTGAGACAGGTGTTTCTGTTGTTATCGCAGACAGATTTAAAATGCCGCCATAAATACTCCAGATATCTGGAAAGAAAAGCCTAGGAGGGAAAAATAAAGACCTACTTGAAACCAGGAGATTGGCCCTTTATTTTGTAATTTACACTTTATCTTTCAAAAAGGAACTAGAAAGAAAAAAAAAACCACTATCTATTCTATGACCTATTTTTTCTTATCTAATTTCTCCCCTGGCAGTTTGCCATCACTAACAGAATCAGTGCTGAATCTTTGACAATTTAGATTTTAAAAAACACTAAAAATGTACATTTATATAATTACTTTATGTTTACTATAAGTACAAATATAAAAATGTCACTTTTTCATTTCTGAGAGAAACTATGGTCAGACGAACCTTTAAGATTTTATCACAGGAAAATCAGGCTCAGTTCACCAAATCTGAAAGCAGTGGCTTCCATGAAATTCAAAATCCTGGCCAAATTAAGGACACTTCAGCACCATTTAAAATACAGCTATCTGGTGGGGAGCCCAGGAAAAAGGGGAATGGACTACGGGTGCTCTCTGGTGGAGAGAAAAGGATGGTGACCTCACCTGAGGGGACGAATCCTATATCGTCCAAAAATTATCACTGATGTGAGGTAAAAGCACTATATCGAAAAACAAACCAAACATTTATTTAAAATAAATAAATAAAAACAAAAGGCAAGAGATAAGAGGCACCCTGTTTCCCAAACTCACCCATCAAAGCAGTGGGCAGCAGTCAGGACCCACTGCGGGTGGATGATGGCGCCTCCACACAAGTGTCTCTGGGCTGGCAGCATGGCTTGCAAGCTCACCTGCCAGGGCCACTCGCCCCACGCAGAGTCCGTGCCTCCCACGATGCGTGCGTTTGTTTTCGTTGTGCAAACTAAAATGAGAGTGTTGGAAGTTCGAATGAGAGGAGAGTCAGAATCTCTTCTTGCCAGGGGGAACACACTAAGTAATCCCCCTTGTGTATTTCATGAGTTGCTACTACCCAAGGTAGACAAACAAAACCAGACAGACATCTCTTTACAGTTCTCTGGAAAAAGGAAGTTTACTCACTGGAGCTGTCTCCCCTTTGACACAGTCTCAAAGAGTAACCAGACATGGATGGTGTCCCGGTTGTAATCCTGGTCGGGGAACCATCCAAAGATAATCGCAAGGAACACTTACACCTATGGAAAATGACCAGAATGAAGATTAAACTTCATAGAAAAGGAACTGTCTCGCCAACTATCTTTGAAAAAGAAATGTTCACTAACTTCTTTCCTGTACAGTCTTCTGGGAGTAAAGAATAAGTGAAAAATTGACAGCGAATCATGTTGGTACAAGTCTCTTGGCAAACATTCACTCCATTCACAAAGGTCACATTCAATTCTTCCCCTCCAAAATCCATTTCTGAGTAAATTTTGAAATGACAGGGCTCTGTGCCAGTTATAAACATAAAAATGAAAACAGTAATAATTAGCCATCACATGACTTTTTAGTGCACTAAGAATTACATCATCTCTATTACTTGTCAGCTGATCATAAAATCGATCACAGTTTATGTCACACAATTATTGAATCAGATTACCAGGCAAAGTACGTTTGCAAGTTAAAAGGCTATATCCAGACATGGCATTTTCCTGAGGCGTAGGGGGGCTCGGTGTCCCACTTTTCGAAGTCTTAAGGAAACAAACGTTTCTATTAAAAAAAAAAAAAGGGAGGGAGGGGTAAATACAAAAGCACCTCATATAAAAAAAAAACCACCTGAAAATTTTATTCTTCTGAGAAATACTCTTCAAAGTACATCAGACTATAATGTTCTAATAAATTACAGAGATTAAATGTAAGTCAAGCCACATCTCCCTCTGAAGCAAAATAATAGGCACAGATAGCCTGAAAGAGAATGGTAAAGTTGCACCTTCCAAGTGAAAGAAAAATAGAGGAAAGAGCACATTCCGGGGGATTTACGGTGCTGATGCTTTTATGTAACCACAACTCCTTCCCTTGGCTCCATCTTGAATATGAAGGAGGGGGTGGGATGTTATCTGAGGGTAGAAAGGCTGGAGCCGCACCTTGATGGGGGTAAACAGGGCTCTAGTTTCTGAAACAGAGCAGTTAGCACCAACCAGCTTCAAGTAATAGCTGCCAGCAGGGATTTTGCTGCTGGCTAATTCAAAGCATTTAGGGCCTTTGTCTCTCACAGCTGGTTTTCCTTGATTCAGTGCTAGGCTTAAGTAAGAAGCAGGCAGAAAACTCTGCTAATCTTTTAACTAATCTGCACCTATCAGAAAAGCACTCCAACTGTGGGTTTAATTAAGCGTTTTGAGGAAAATGAATAAAACTTGAGAAAAAAATCTGACTGTAGAAGTAAATGACTACAGGATAGTTCACATATTACACAGACACACTCGCCTTTGGGATTCTATCCTCCAAAACTTCGTGTAGAAGGTGAAGAAGAGGCAGCTGGGATGGTAGGTGCAGATGGTTCGACAGACCAGAGCATCTGGGGCAGTAACTCTGGCAATGTCCACATCGGTAAAGGCCAGATGTTGGAAGATGTTCATGTGGCAGCCTGTGGATTCGCAGAAGGAGAGTTCTCAGCATGTAACAAGATGCTGAGGAGATTTTGACCATTTGTTACTCGTAGCACTAAATATCCTAAATGTAAGAGTGTATGTTAAAGCATCCCTAAACTTGTTTGCTATTTAAAAGATGGAAAAAGTTATCTAGTTCTGATAAGACAGAGTCATACCTCAGAGGAATTAACTAAGTCACTTATACTTCCGGCTCCATGCCCAACCAGTGCAAATAGTGATAGAGTAAATGGGCTCTCAGATAAGCATTTGCGTATTTGCCTCCTTTAACAAATTTATGACGAAATTGGTTTTCCCAGACTTCTGAATTGTCTGTGGGTTTACTTTTTTTCTCTCCTTTCCTTGCAGTTTCTCTTCTTTTGACAGGTTTAGGGTCAAGGAAAGGAAATCCCAAACAAAAGCAAATAGTGAGAAAGCAGGCCCACTCCTCTTCCTCCCTGAGCTGCTCCCTGCCCCCTCCCCATTACTCTTGCTGATTCCCCATTTCTGTTTGTCTTAGTGTAAATAAAGGCCGGTGCCCACTGGTCTCCATCCCAGCACCAACTTTTACTCCCTCCCCCTTGGGGACACTTGCCCACCTTCCCTTTTCTTTGTTGAACACTGTATAAATAGTCCTGTAACTTGCCAAAGAGGAGGACGGTTGTCTTTCCGACATCAGTCTGCTGCCCTCCTCATTTGTCGACAAATAAAACCACTTTCCTTCTCCTGAAACTCTGTTTCCTTTTATTGGCTGAGGGAAATTGAGACTGGCATTCAGTAACAACAGCATGTGCATATATGTCACCCGGACCCTGAGTTCATAGCTTTCGGAACAAGAGGTATTATGTTACATTTTTCTGAATCTTATGAAAAGAATTTTTATAAAAAGAAATAAATATCTCAGGTCACTAACAAGAAAAATCAAGTGCCCATTGAAATTGGAGCAGGAGAAAACCCCCTTTTTTATCCTTTTATGATTATAATTCATATTTATCGGTGTTTCTATTATTTACTCAATTTGATAATATAAATCTAACAAAATTATAGTGGCTAAAATATAACAGCAATAATTATGGGAAGAACAAAATAATACTAATTCAAGTAGTTGGATCAAAAGAGAGTTTCTCCCCACAATGTTATTTTTATGTCAGTGGTCTAGGCAATGAAGAGTCTGGTTTTCTTACTATTCTAAAAAAAAAAAAACAGACTTCAAGTTGGGGGCGAATTTAACAGGTCATGTGTGCCTAGCTATAGTTTCATCTTCTTAAGGATACCCCTGGCAAGTTTTTGAACATTGACTTAGATATCTAGAGTGATAAGGAGTTCACTACCTCATGGCAAGGCCCTTTTCTTTTCTGGACTATGCTTACGTGTTAGGAAATATTTTAATTTTTTAATTAAAAATAAGCTGAGGTTACCTTGGTTTGCAGAGTTGTATATGATTTAGAGGCATAGGATCACCCCCTTGAGGTATAGGTCACCACACCCGCCACCAGTGCACCTTAAGTCCTCCCCCATAATGCACTCCTCACTTGGTCTCCCTCCTCAGTCTCCTGCTTCTCCTGCCTGGCAGCCTGAATTCTACAGTCAGATTTCGAGGGTTATTAGTTCTGTTTGTTTTTAAAGATTTATTTATTTATGCATACAGAACTGAGGTACAGGGGGTGGAAGGATTCACCAGAGACAGAGTAGAGAGCAGAACAGGCAGATCTACTGAAAAGCATTGCTGAGGGGAGCAGTGGTCTGGTGAGGAGAGGTCTGCCTCACCCTGTGAGTCACCTCATTGGCCAGGGATGTAGGTGCTGCACTGGCTGTTTCATAGTGCTGTGCTTTAACCCGTTGCACCACCAGGGAGGTGCAACTAGTTCAATTTTATCTGACTTTTTGTTCTGTTTCTCTATATTCCACAAGAAACTCAGGAAACTTTGAGTAAAATAACTCAAAGCAATCCAGGCCTAACTCAGCATAATCAGACTGTTGAAAGCAAAAGATAAAATATATTGAATGTAGCAGGAGAAAGGGCATTTGTTATACACAAACTGCTACCAGTAAGAATAACCACTGATTTCTCATAAGGCCAATAAGACCCAAAGGCAGTAAGATAATAAATTCAAAATATTAAAAGGAAAAGACTGTTAGCCAAGAATTCTATATTTACCAAAACTATCCTTTAAAAATTATGGGGAAAAGATACCTGCACCCCCATGTTTACTGCAGCTTTATTTACAATTGGAAAGACATGGAAGCAGCCCAAATGTCCAAAAGTGGATGACTGGATTAAAAAGATGTGGTACATAAACACAATGGAATATTACTCAGCAACCAAAAAAAAGAAACACATGCCTTTTTCAGGAACATGGATGGAGCTGGAAAAGATCATGCATAGTGAAATAAACCAGAAAGAAAAGGAAAAATACCGGATGGTTTCACTCATAGCAGGAGTATAACGGGCCAGGCGAGAGAATAATAATAATAAACAGCCATATACCAGAGACATTTTAGGGGGGGGTGGAGTGGGGAATGGTGGGGGGAGGGAAATGTGCTGGACTATGGTGATGGCACAGGGTGATTTGGTGATGGGAAGCCCAAGGGGATTGCAAGTGAGATGGAAAATGCACAGAATGATGTAAAAATAAACTATTATAATTTTTTTTTAAAAAGGTGGGTGAAAGAATGTGGGAGTGGATAAATAAAAGAATTGAAGAACTGAAAGAAATTAAAAGACAAAAAAATTATGCAGAAACAGTAAATCAGAAATGAAAGGGATTGTAAATACCATTAACAACTGTATGCTAACAAATTACAAAATATAAACAAAATGGATAAATACCTAGAAATACACAAACCACTGAAACTGACTGAAAAAGAACTAGAAAATCTGAATTGACTAATAAAATGTAGAGATTGAATTTATAATTAAAAACTACCCACTTGGAAAAGCCAGGGTCTGGAGAACTTTCCCGCTCAATTCTACTAAGTTTTTAAAGAAGAATGAATACCCTAGAGAAAAAGTAGCCAGACAGTTACCTATTTCTGAGTGTGCACAGGGCTTCAGTGAGAATCCAGATACCACATTATCCAGGACCTTTATACTGGTAGGTGTACCTCCAGGACCATGCTTGAGTAAGCACTTGTTCCTGAGTGAAAGACCAGAGGTTCCTAAGTGAAAGACCAGAGATTACTCTGCTTTTACACATTGAGTTACATCCAGCAGTCCATTCTGACTTGAAATGATCCATGATGTGTGTAAAATAAACAAAGTAATGAGAACAATGACCCTGAAAAAACGAGAGGGCTTTGTATTAATAAGCAAATAGCCAACGGGTGGGAAATCTCCTCATTCTCCAGGCACACACTCTCTCTGTGCCACATGAAAAGTATTTGGCTTCAGGAAAAATACCAAAATTGAGTAAGCAAATAAAGGGAGAGGTTCAGTCTAAAAGTCTTGTTTGTTTTGCAGCTGGGGTTAAAAAAAAAAAAAAAGATTACAAAGAGCAAAAATCCTAAAAATACCATCAGAAAGAACAAATGCTATGAATTTTACTCACCGATATCCTGGAATATAAAATTTGTCTGTAGCATAGGTAAAAAACTGGCAAAGGATATTGTTGGTACACCTTTTCTGGCATTCTTCAACACTTTCAGCTATAGATACATTAAAATTGGCTCCTCTAATATCAGTTCCTTGGTAAATATCTCGGTGGCAAGCTGTCCAAATAAAACATACAGGGCAAAATCAGTATCCTTTCTAGAAGTACATCATCCATTGTTGAACCATTTGAACAGGGTAATTTTGAAGGATAATAGTCCATTTATGACATCTTCCTTATTAACTAGGAGCTTTGGGGCTTTTTTATTACATCACTGAATTATTAAGCTGCATTTGAAATACATACGTTCCAAAAGATGTTAGAACACTACCAAAAAAAAAAAAAATCTACTGTACTTCCAAAAATACAAGATATATGCAGCAATACAAGTAATATTTCATGTTGAAATTATCATTGAGTAATGGAAGATAAATGAGCCAGTAATACTGAAGACCTTACTGATGTATGCTAGGGATTGAACTTCAACCTCTTGCAGTGATAGGGCTTTATCTCTGTGTTATTTCTGAGTATCCAGCCACTCCTATTTGCTTGTGAATTGCATCTGTTAGCCCTGTCATTGACAGCTATATGTCAAATCATTATACATGATTTGTATATGTATAATGAAGCCATTTTTGTTCTTGCTTTAAAATTTTGTTACATTCCCCTTAGGCACCTTTTTAGTTGAAATTAATCTATTAAAAATTATGGATTATTCTTAAATAGAATGTGAATGAAAGAGTACTGAAAAAAGTACCATATTATTTTTTCTTTAAATTTTCCTGTGATATACAATTGAAAATAATGCTTAATTAACTTATAGTAAGTTTCATTAAGATGTAAGTTTTATCTGTAAAATAGGAAACATACTCCTCCTTGGGAAACTAGATCAACTAAATCAGGTTGCCATGTTTATGACTGAGGAGAAGCTGCAGGTATGAGGTGTGTGTGTGTGTCAGAGTTGTATTAATGGGAGAGGAAAGGATAAAAAATGTTTAAGCATCTAAAATTAAAGTAACTGTATAGATAAAGTAACTAAAGGCAAAAAGCAGTGATATGTCTTAGTCTTCATATTTTGTTTTAGAAATATTGTTTTTTTTAAACTTTTTTTTAAGATTTATTTATGTATGCATACAGAACTAGGGTATAAGCCAGAGGTGCAGGGGTGGCGAGAGGATTCACCAGAGACAGAGTGGGGAGCAGAACAGGCAGATTGATGAAATACACTGCTGAGGGGAGCAGTGGGCGGGTCAGGAGAGGCCTGTGGCGCCATGTGGTCACCTCTGGGGTGAGGATCGAACTTTCGAACTTTCGCTGAAGTGGCTACAACTAGCTTTGCAGTGCTGTGCTTTAACACATTGTGTCACCAGGGAGGGCCCTAGAAATATTATTCCTAACAAGATTTTTAGAGCCTCCTCCTTCAGTTTAGGTTTAGGGGTACACAACAGCTTCTTAACCTTGGCACTGCAGGCATTTGGAGCTAGACAAGCTGTGTTGGTGGGGGCTTCCCTGTGAATGTTTAACAGCTTCACTAGCCTCTGCACCCTCTGCCACCTAAATGTTATCTCTAAATATTGCTAAGTGCCCCCGGAAGAAAGGGAAAATTACACTGGCTGAGAACCACTAGGGTCCCTCATGTGAAGTAAGGAGGGGCACCCTCTGGATCCACTTCAGGTTCTTGTCTGGGATCAAGGGAATATGATGTTTGATTGTTCACTTTCTGCCTGCCTTACACTGGAGTGAACCTCAGAAATAAGAGCGGCTGGTGGAGCGTGTGTTGACTGACAAAGGCAAGGCTGGGCCGCATCTCGGTTCTGAGTGCTCCCTCCGAAGTCCAGTATAGTGGAGACTTCAAGCCAGAGCTTCTCTAAGGCAAACCCACTATTCACTCAAATCCTGCAAAGAAATTCCCACCTTACCGCTTATTTGATGACCACATTGCTTTAAGGAATGTCCAGAAATTGCATTCATCCGTGATACTCTTGGCAAGGATCCTGTAACACTGTCTTTTAAGAAGCAACCAAACCTGTTTTTAAAAGTAGCTTCACTTAGGAAGTAAAATAGTAAACATTGAGGATACGTCTAGCATTTGACACACTGATAAATATATCCAGCGATAAGGAAAATAATACAGCTTCCCTGACATGTGCTAGTATATTTTCCTGGGAGGAATTCTACAATATCTCCTAGTCGTCGTAATAGCCAGTGTCAGCTTTACTTTCCTGCACACTCACATTTCTAGGCACAGAAGTTCAGTTATATTTAAGAGTTAAAGTGAGCACCAGATCAAGTTATATTTAAGAGTTAAAGTGAGCACCAGATCACTGAGCAATGGGGGGATATTACTGCAGGAAATGCCAGTCAGTCCAAGTGGCTTAGTGTGGCCATCAGACACGAGGCTCTGTATTCTCAAGAGAAGAGCAAAATTGGATCAGCAGTCGTCAAAATGAGGTCCTCCTGGGCCTGTCTCCAAAGCAGGGTCATGAGCCCCTCATCAGAGTCAGCAGAGAAACGACAGTGTCTGAGTCGTTTGATTAAAAGTTCTTATTAGCCACCGTGGAGGTGTGATAATCAATACCGATGTAGACCTCCCTTTCCCAAGGGCCTGGTGAAGGAGAAAACCAGTGATATCCTGCTGTGGGTTTATACCTCCACTTTTGGGTAAATGGGGCTTGGATAGACAAGCTGAAGTGTTTACCATTTCCACTGGGCCCTTCCCCTCCCTCAGATCTAAATCATTTCAGTAACTCAGTTGAAATGCCCAGATTGCCTTCTTTGGTTGAAAGTGAAGGAACCAAAATGATGAATCCCAAAAGAGTTTTCTGCTTTTCTTTTGAGGCAATTTAGGGAATTAACTCTTTCATTCATTTCTTAGTTTTCCTAAGATATTGCTTTCATCCACTCATCCAGGCAATGCGTTTTACTGAGGCTGTTGTAAAAAAAGTGTTAATGATGTTTCCTATGTTCCTAAATTTTTACGGAACTATATTCTGACTTTGTAGATTATATTTCTAAATACATTTATCCTGGATATTGGTCAAAATTAAAGAAAATTGTGATGAAATTATGACTACACAAGAAACTATGACCTAGTAAGTCTTAATTACCAACTATTTTCCCAAATGCTCTCACTTTTCCAAGTTACTAATTCTGGATATTATTCAATTACATTCTCAACAAAATGCTTGCCTTCTCTTATACGAGGGTTGTTATCCACAAATGTAAGCATAGGTTAGATTGCAGGTATGCTTCCTTACTCAGGTGAAATATGCACCTGCTATTAGATTTTCTTGAGACAATCTCTTAGCCCACCGGTCTTTTTGTATTTTCTTGAGACTATGGATAGAAGGGACTAGTTGCTGTCACTTTAAGTGAATGAAACAATTATTTAACATTTATATTTCTAGATCCAAGAGACCTGGCTTCTTCAATAGGTATAGCTTTAAGAATTTGCTTAGGTAAGAACCACTCCAAGTGATTCCAATGAAGCTGATCCTTGAATCCTAGTTGAAAAGTATACTTTTGCTACGTGTTGTCCCTGTTTGCATACAACTGATTCCATTTTGAGAAATGACTAATTTCTCCTATAATGAAAAATTACCTTTTGCCCGTGTTATTTGTTGCACTTGCAGGAAGAAAGCTAAATAGCAAACACCTTGGGTGAAAGGTGCACGTCATCTGGCAGTGGTGGGTGCTTGGAGAATAGATGGCAGCTACATCCCCACCTTTAAAGAAGGTATTTCTATAAAGTTGAATCAGGCATCCTGTGATGTAATCATTAAAAAAAAAAGCACATAATTACAAACCAGTGCATGCAATAATTTTAATAGAAATATACCTGGGTTTTACACCTTATTACTTCCTCCACTAACTACCTGGTGATCTATACAACTTGACTTTCACTGAAGAGGGAAAATTAATATATTAAAGGAAATATGTGACCAATGCAAAATGTTGTTTAAAGTCCTTTTCTGATACTTTACATTAACAAACAAACAACTCTTGGTTGATTTTTATTAAATCATATAATAATTTGCACATAAATTATCCTCATTTGGTCTCTCCCTACCAGGTTAAGGAGATTTCACACTTCCAAAGTAGCCATATTTTAGGGGCTGTTTGGGTACAGTGGGGAGCATGTTAGTCTTGTAAAAATAACCACGTATGAGCTCTTTTTCAAAACACTTTATAGCAAATATCCCCACTAGAGTCTCCCAGCAGCTCTGTAAGGGGAGCTAGAGACTGGCCTTATACATATCTGACATTTTTTTAAAAAGAAAAGTTAAGTGAAAGTACAGACCTGGGGCTAATGAGTGTCCTGGGACATGAATCCAGCCTTCGGCTTCTACTCTTGTTCCCTTCTCTAGGGTGCAATTTTAAATGTTTCTCATCTCAGTTTAATACAAGCATGCTAGCAATTTTTTGGGTGTTGGTTCCTTCACAAATGTGTGCAGAGGAGACAGTATGTGCAGAGTCTCTACAGCTTTTTTAGGTAGCATAAGCAAATACTAAATTGAAATTCTGAACTACTTGCTGTTTGGAATTGTTCACAACTCTAAATATGTGGGAACGCATCCCACATATCATTAGAGTTGTGAATGTTACCTTTTATTATAATTAACTGTTTCAAATATTAAAGTGTTGGGTTTAATTTAGGTTTACCATTTCAAAGTCTGTTTAATATGCTTTTCCTACCCAGGTGGCACATTCACTTTCAGATGATCACCTGTCCATGAATACCCCTATAGTTCAATGACAGCTTGTCCCCAGACCCCCATCAACAGTCATGCTTCAGTTTCACTGTTTCTGCATGGCCTTTCAGGGATTGGGCATTTTGTTACACTCCAAAGATTAAAATCTCCTCTGCATTATCCTAGCCCTATCAGATTCTGGCCCTGAGTTTATAATGACAATTCAACCCAACAAGTTGGCTTCTGTCCCTCTCAGGGGTATGGCTAAAATGACTAGCCCTTGGGGGGAAGGTTTATATTTAGAAAAACAGAGAACTCTCAGGTAGAAGCTTCTGGGAATACAAGTTCCCAAGTATACAGACTTAGATTTCATATGTATATAAATACTGTGTAGTCGGTACAGTGACAGCTTCTCCACCATGATGATGCACAGAATAAACAATGGGGAGTTGTCATTCTGCGAAAACCCAGTGAACAGCCCTGAAAGGGGTGACTGGTAATACACTAACTTTGATGTGGACCAAAAAGCAAGTTCTAGTAGGTGTTGGTGCTTATTCTCATAATTTAGCAATGATGATAGCAATGATGACAAAGACACTGAAGGCATGTTTGTGTTGTATTTTAGATTGTGTATAAGGCACTGTTATGTAACTGTTCTCATAGCATAAAATACTACATCACATCATGTCACACTGGTCTTTGTGTATTCATAGACTTTGGAGTGGTTATTAGGTCGTATTTTTAAAGATAAGAAAAGCACTCTAATTTGTAAAATTTGGGGGAAGAAATATAAACATGAAAATAGTTAAATATCATATATGAAAATAATGTGAAATACTATTTCATATTATTTATGTGAATATGAAATATTCATATGAAAATAGTTAAGTATAATATATAAAGCCAAGTTAAAATTGCAAGCTGTCATAACTCATCATATTAGCAAAACACTTCAACTGTATGTTATCAGTATTAGTGGACTGATTCTAATTGTAAATAGTAATTTTTAAAAAGTCATTCAATGGCTAGCTCAACACAAAATCCATCGTTTCAAAAGTCAGAGAACCCTTGGTGGATCTGACTGGGAGAAGTGCATGGGCCTGGTGCTCAGCTAATCCCATGAAGTCACGCTTTGTCTTGCATTTGTTCTGCTCCATGATGGTCTCAGAAGCTCGTGCTGTGCATTCTCAGATCTGTCAAACCCAATGGGAAGCAAGAGTCTGCTTCTTGAGGTGTCAACTCTAGTCTCACTTGGCTTGATCAAGTCGCTGCAAACAGCAGCTCGGGCACCTGTTTTGCTGGTTCAGATCAGCCTGGGTCACTGGTATTTGGACCCAAACTGGGAGATAGAAATTCCCAGAAATAAATTTTCTGTGTCCAGAGGGGCATATTTGCCCAACTACAAAGCCATCGATGCTGCGTAGGGCTGTCTAAGGAGGGTAGATGACCACACTCACCTGCTGGTACGAAAGGGCAACGTGGAACAACCCCTCTGAAAAGCGACTTCACAATGTGTGTCGTAAAGCCTCGGAAGTATTCATACCTTTATCGCTAGCATTCTTATTTCCAAAGTCTTATTTTACAGAAATAAAATTGAATATATGTATAGAGGTAAAATGAAAAATACCAGCAATAGGAAAGAAGATTAAACACAAAACCTGTGTGTATATATATACACTTATGATATATTATACATACACATATATACACACACATATGTGCTTGAAAAGATAACTATAAATTGGAAGTATAAGTCATAAAATTTATCTATAATTAATAATATTTCTGTTAAATATGAAATAGATATATGTAGAAAAATAACAGAGTGTTTTTCCAAAACAAGTATTTCGCTAAAAAAGGGCATTAACCAAGGTTATTTTGGCACTTTGGGACTACAGACAGTATAGAGTCTCTCATTTTCTGGTTATTTGCAACTCTTAATTTTCTTCACATGATCATCTCCCAAAGAAATGAAATTGAAGTAGCCATAATATCTCTGACTTCCCCTTCCCAGCAGTCCAGGGGAGTGTGTTGGGGATGACTATGGCTCAGAGGAGCATTTGGAGTAAGGGAGAGGAAGCACAGAAATAACAATGTCTTAAAGAAACTGTATCTCTTTGCACATACAGCCCTTATGCGGGAGGCATTGATCTGAGCCATCCATTGAGAGGGATGTTAGCAAGCCTCTGCTGTGGCCATCTGAGTTTACATGGGCCCAGAATTCACCTCCAACAGCGCTACGGACAACGCCACTCTGCAATGATTAATGGAAAAGTTGCTGAGACCATCACTGTTATTTATTTTTTTCAGAGTCATCTTTTTTCTTTGAAAATTTAATAAAATGGGCAAAATCAAAATAGAGGTTTTGAAACTGGAATAATTCAAATGAATGGCTTGCTAAATTAAATTTAAATCAAATACTTTCATTTCTGACATGGTTCACCAGTGGCCTAAAAGTATAAAAATAAGTACCAGGTTCCTGTTTTATGATACTTAGGTTGACCCCAGATACTATAAAATGTCTAGCAGTTTTGAATATTCAGGTAACGTAGAATTTTTAAATGTTTATTTAAAAAAAATGGAGGGCTGATTGTTTTAAGACTGCTGTGTAAAGAATGATGTCCAAACAAATGACTCTTCTGGTAATGGGAGTTTAAAGATGCTCACTTGTAGACTTCTCCTCTGGGGTGTGTAGGGCCATACTTCAAGGCAGTAGTAGTAAAAAGATATATGTCCTGTCTTAGCGGAGCCTGTCTTCTTGCCAAAGCCGGATGCTGAATAGCTTTCTCTGGGGCGGGCATGTGTGTCTTGCTAACTACTTCCTCACATACTCTTAATTTTATGTCTCATTAATCATCCACTTACCACAGGAAACTGTAGTAAACAAGGAAGCGAAATAAGCTGCTTGCCTGAATGAAATCATCCTAAAAGAAAAAGCAATGCATGCATAACTCTGCTGGTTGTAGATCGTAGTTAACATTAACTTTCACTTTAGAGTTTGTCTGTGGATGTCTAAGTGGCAAACCTAAGCACTCAACTGCCGGAGCAGAAAGCGGATGTTTTCTTTACATTTTGTGCCTAAGATCTAGGGTTAGCATATGTGAAGCCCACCAGTGACTATTGTGCTTATTGTTCATTTGTTACTGTTACCAGTCATGAGAAAGATAATTAAGAACAAGGAATTAAACATACCTGAAACTTCTGTGTTTGAGCAGAAAGAAAATTACAGCGACAATGCCAATAATAATCAGTCTGGAATCGTTAATTAAAGAAATACTCTGAAAATATTCAAGCCTGTTTTTAATTTTAAAATCAGTCAAAATTCTTTGTTTTAAAAATATCTCACACTATATTCCACATATATCAGTTTCTCCTTACTCTCTACATAGGAAATTAAAGCATACACCAATAGGTTCCCCATAGAGTTAATCTATGCTTCATTAAAAAAAATATATATATACGGTTTGGAAGCAATCAGAATAACAGAAATTCTATACCTGAAAGTACAATTGTGCCTGTGTTGCTGGAGGTGAGGGTGTCTTTCGCCACTTAAAAATGGACAAGCGTCAGGCTTTCTGAAGCTGACTCTGTGGACCGTATTTGCTTGGCTCCAATGTTGACTTTGGTTATCTGCAAGTTTCAAGTTTTTTGTCCTGTCAGCAAAATCTATGACTATCCCATTCCTGTGTTCAGTTATCTAATGTATTAACTCTTTCATGCTAGGGCCACACAATTCACACGCAGGTTTTAAACAATATTCCCAAATAGCTATTTGTGGTCCTGTAGCATAAATCTCAATGAACTGGACCTCTCCATTGCACAGCTGAACAAAGGTGGGATGGATAGTTCATCCTGGAAGGATCTTTGGGTAAATGATACCTATGTGTGCCTGTATGCTAGAGAAAGAATTACATAGTGCTGAAATTTTAAATCTTGGAAGGACTTGATTGAGGGTAGAGCCTGCTCTCACCCAAGTTAAGAAATAAAATTGAATGGTGCGACAAAACACACTTCAAGGACCAAATGTGGCCCAGTGCCTGTTTGTTTGTTTTTTTAAATAAAGTTTTATTGTAACACAGTCACGTCCCATAATTCCTGGATTGTCTTTGCGAGCATTTGCCCTACAACTATAAAGTTCAGCAGTAATCTGAACTCCAAAACAGAAAAGATGTACTCTCTGGCCCTTTTCTGGAAAAGTACTGTACAGTACTCCTGGTTCAGAGTTTAGACATGTCTGTGAGCCTATCTCAACTAGAAAAAACATTTATGGAGCCGGTTCTACTTCAGGCATTTCTATTTTATTTTTAACTTTAAGAAACAGCCTTCCTGCACCCTAAACTGTGCCTCCTTGAAACTTCTGTCCTTCAGTTCAAGATTTTCCTACTAGCACCACACAAATAATTTTTTTCTCTATTTTTTGTGTTTTTTTTAAATATTTAGACTAATAATCATTTGTCCATGTATTTCCTTTGTTTTGTGACTATTCTTCAAAACCACAGCATATTGTTCTGACAAGTAAATTGGATTTTTAGGGAGCTGATTCTTAAATATTTTATGTATGTGACTGCAATTCAGGTTTCATCTGCTGGCAACTTTAATAAGCAAAAATTATTGAGATATAACTACGCTAGTTCCAAATCACACCAGAAGTGCTCAGAATTTGCTTCCCTAAAGGCAAGTTTGCAGAGTTTGACCTGTTTTGATGTACTCTGTATTTTGGTTGAACTTTCTTGCAATGAGATATGTCATGTTTTAGTAGCATAAAAACAACAAAAAATATTGCAATGAATTCAGAAGAAACAAAAAGTCAGTAATGTGAGGAATTCTAAACTCTGTCCCTAGATTTCCCACCAAAACTGGGACTGAATGGGACAGATCCCTGTTCATGGTTACATTGTGTTACATGACAAAGGGAATTTTGTAGGTATAAATAAAGTTACTAAATAGCTGACTTTGAACTCATCAATATGGAGATTATCTGGGAGGGTCCAATAATATCATACTCATCTTTCAAAGGCAGTGTTTTCCTTCTGTAATTAAACACAGAATTCAGAGAGACTGGAGGTGCAAATTTTGGCAGGAGAGGAGCTCTCCATTGCTGGTTTTGAGGTGGAGTTGGCCACGGCGTGGACCGGAGAGTGACTGGTAGGTTGACAGTAGTTTCTGGACAAGAACCAGAAAGGATGCGGTGAATTCAGTGCTACACCCTCAAAGAGCTGAACACTTCTGACCAACAAAATGTTCTTTCTCAGAAACGCCACACCTTGACTTGGGGTATTATGACAAAGGGAGACCACAGCTAAGCCTCCATGCTGTCCTACAGAATTGTGGAATAATGCTAGTATTGATTTAAACTGTAAGATTGTAATTTACTACACTGATATAATAAATAGTAAAATAACACTGATATAGCAAATAAGATTTATCTGAAGTGACAGAGCCTGCAGAGAGGAGATTTGGAAATAGGCAATTCTGGAATTAGAGAATGGAGACTCCCCAATAAAACCTGAGAGTTGTGAATGGGGAGATGAAGCAGAGTAGAGTTCTGTCACTATGGGAGCTTTAAGGGGACCCACTTTTTTTTTTTAAAGATTTATTTATTCATACAGAACTGGGGTTCAGGCCAGAGATGCGGAGGGTGAGAGGATTCACCAGGGACAGA